CCCTCCTGCATCACCCAGTCCAAACCAATAACCGTACCCTCTTCATTGCGTATGAATACCAGGAGAAATTGCTCGTAGCTCGAGTAATCCACCAGGCATCTTGTCTCCATCTCGTCACTCGATCCAGGTAAAAAGCTAAACGTGTGGGACTGGTAGTGTTCCAGGAGATGGCACTGCGAATCCATGCGAATCCGTTTCATCTCCAATTGATCTTCGCTTACCTTGTACACATGAATAATCCCCTGTATGTCTTCGTTCCGGTACGTCCCCTCAAGGCTTTCGAGATGGGGACATGGCGTATTTAACATGCGGTTCTTCTGTAAATCGTCTTTCATCTTGGTATATCGGTTCAGACTACGGGTAGATAGCTTCTCCGCTCTCATACCGAAATCCACTTCCGGGGTCATATCGAAGAGTGATTGGACGAACATCTGAGCAACGAGATCAGAACAGTCTCCAGCACTCTGCGCGTTGGTCAGGACGACCACAGCGGATTTGGTCTCCGGGAAGAGATAGATGGAGTTGAGATATCCGGTCACCTGGCCTCCGTGGTATAGTGTCAGCCGCGGCCGCGATCCTCGCCCGATGACATCGTCTCTATTTGGGCCGTTGGTAGACAACCACCCAAGTTGTGTCGAGGGAATCATGTGTCTTGCCCATCCAAATGCGTACGAGTTCTCGTTGACGGTATCGTCCGTAACGGATATCTTGCGGGACGTGATTTGGCTGATTCGCCTTAGCGGGTTTGCCGATGTGGTTTGCGCGTCCGTATGGTCGTCGTGGTGTACTGCTTCGTATTGATCTGTGTTGAGACTCAATCCTTGGATGGCCTCAATGGTGCTCTTCTCCGTCTCCTCTTCTTCCAACCGTTCCATTACTGCTTGCGACCAGATGAGCATTTCCGGAACGTTCGACCAAATCGCCATTGCAGCTCCACAAATAGTCTTGTCTGAAACTTGAGGCATTCGTAAACGTACTGGTCGCCTGTCGTGCAAGACCGTATGCCCCTCAGCCAGATTTCCACCCTCGACTTTCCATCGAGAACACGTCGATCTACTCATTCCGAGAGGCTCAAAGATTCTCTTCTTGACGAACCCTCCCCAGCCATCCACGGCATCCTCGCCGCCTACCGCTTTAATCACTTTACCCACCAGAGCGTAAGGCCAGTTGGAGTAATGGAATTCGGTGCGAAATGTGTCGTGAACTGGCATGTTGGCAGTGATATGTAATAAATCTTCTGGAAGAAGCAGTTCTGCGCCTGCTGCGCCATACCACGCGATGTCGAGCTGTGGAAATCCGCTGGAATGAGAGAGGGCTTCTGATAGACTCATGTGTTTGCCTATGGCAGGATCTTTGTTCTGGGTAAAGGGTATGTATGTGGATAGCGGTTCGGTCCAGCTCAGTTTGCCTTCGTCTACGAGCATACCACAGGACGCAGCGATGAAGGCCTTGGTGAGTGATCCGATCATGTAGAGAGTTGAATTGTTGACCGGGACATAATTTTCGTTCCGATCTGCGAATCCTTGGCTGTGCTGGAGGATGATCTTGCCTTCGTGGAGGATGCCGATGGAGACAGAAGGACATCCGGTGATGTCCATCAACTCCTGGACTTGGGGCAGACAAGCCCGTACTCTATCGCAGCATCAGTACAAGTCCTGTCATATTATCGGTATCGTTAGAGCGACTATACCTCTTCTTTGCTGCGGTAGGATCCATGACTTATCCGCGGCTTGATAGTGATAGCGATAGAGCGACTCCCGTTATGCGAAACACTGGAGACAGGTAGCTTTTCTGGATAAAGTATCGACCAAACAATAAACGCAGGTGAAGGTGAGGAAGTCGAGGACGACAACTGCGGACGTGTTGACGTGCCGCGGATAGGCGACAACACAAACAGGCAGGAGCGTGTCTGCCGAAACGGGCTAGACCGACCACGCCCATATCCTGCATGATGCATAGGTGAAAGAAGGAAGGAACGATCACACAGCGAAGCCGCACCGCAGATTCGATGCTAGACAATTGCGCATGCAAAATGTCATTTGCATATTTCGGAGAAGTAGGATCGGGAACCGTGTCCATAGATTTGAGGGGGGTATCTAGTCCTAATGCTAAGAGGGGAGGGACGTCATAAATCATAAGTCATAAACCCAGCAATCAGTTTGCTGTTGGCCGAGGAGATATCCAAGCTCTACTCAAGCGACGAAAGCCAAGTTCAATACATTTCCCTGGTCCTTCGTGAAGTATAGTTGCACCAGTCGCACTATAGATGAGTTAGTGGATGTTTACACCCTCATCGCACCATACTAACCAGAGTGTCAGAAGACGCGTCGTTATCCTCACGGCAGTACTCGTTGTTGCATTTCCTGCAAGTGCGGATGAAAAGCTCCTTACAGCTTATGCATGTATGGCCACAGCCAAAACAATCACGTCTCACGCCGATAACCTGTGTTTCTTCACGTCAGCCTGTTTCTCGATCAAAGAGTGAGCACATACCTTGGCGCGCAAGTGCCAGTCTCCAGGTGCAATTATCCAATATAGCCAGGCTCCGGGTTCCGGAATCCAACTACATCGTAACGGCCTCAAGGTAGCATCGCTGCTCGCGCGCCAAGGTAGGTCCTTCATCCCCACATCCCGTCGCTACCGGCTCCGGCCATCATTTCCTCACGGAGGCAGTGTTCCACGCAGAGGCCCATATGTACCTTGATGGTTTGCTTGGGGAGCAGTTGACTGGTCCCGTCGGGTTTGAAGCTCTCGGTGAGCTCCGTCTGCTGTAGTTCCGTTCGCTGGGCGGTGACTGATCCAGTGTAGCAGTTCTCGTCCCACCACTTGTGGCATCTCTCGCACCAGCGTCCTTTCAGGCAGTCCTCGCATCGCACTATGAGAGGTGGAGGGGCGGATCCGTCGAGAGTGTGTGGTATCTGCGCGGCGCGTACGGAGGACCCATGAAGTGGTACCGGACTGAGTAGCGGATGATGCGACGGACTGGAGTCGCCAAACACTGCCGGGCCTTCTGGAGAGGAGTGGCATGTCTCGCAGCCAGACGGACCTAGCGCTACAGTGGCTACTGTAGGCCGCAGGAACGAGGATGGATGGGGTGCGCCATCTGCAGTCGCGTCTCTGACGTACGCCTTGCTTGGGTCATGGCGTGGTCCTCTGCACAGAACGGCGTCGAAAGCGATGATGCCTTCGCACGCCTGGAGAATCTCTGCCCATTCCGGCGACGGCCGCTTAGGTATGATCTTACCAGAAGACTGGTACCACTTGTCCTCGGTCCGCGCCAGTACAGCTTCCAAGGCCTGCTGCGACTTCTCGTTCCATTGCGCCCCTATCTGCGCCCCTTGTGAAGTCGTCACGCCCTTGGGAATATGTGGTGAAGGCTTCTTCGTGACGGGCGACGCAGGGCGCGGTGTTCGATCGCGGGTGCCAAAGATGTAGATGCCTTTGACTCGAGGGGTGCCCGCAGGCCTGGACGGTCGGACCGCATATCGCAGGTATTGCTGAAGCTTCCTCTCGTTCAAATGTTTGGCTTCGCGAATCGAGAGTATGCGGACGTTGAAGCGTTCCTCAGTAAGCAGTTCCTTGACCAGTTCGGCTGTTACGCTGAGCCCGTCTAGTACGAGTGTGTGGACATTGCGCAAGACGTGCAGCTTCTCAAGTCTGTTGAAGATATGACGTAGAGGGCCGCTGTAGAAGTCGTCTTCGGTGAGGGCTTCGTCCATGCGCTCAGCACGGAAACTGGTACCGCCGATATCAAGAGGTCCATCGAAGGGTACAATAGCAGACTTCACCGGAGAGAGATCCAAGTAGCGAAAGGCCTCTGGCGACTGGAAGACAACATGGTGTAGGGATTTGCAAGTTCGCGACAGGTTACGGAGAGCAGATATTGGCAGGTACGGGGCAGTTTGGCGCAGGATCAAGGTGTTGGAAAGCAGGTCCGCCAGGGATGTAGGAAGGTCGTCACTGAAGGTAGAAGGGCCCATGGTGAGGGCTCGGGGAATGCAACCAGAGAAGTTTGGCCAGAGGTTAGATGGGTACTCACCGAATCTTTATTACACAGCGCGAGGGCAGGGCGGAGTAGCACGTGCCACTGATCTGACACTGCAGGTGTGTGTTGGATGAGCAAAAGGAAAGACTAATCGAGGTTGAGACGCTGCAGGAGATGGGGTTGTGGGTGCGTGGGATACCGCCGATGCTTCGTTCCCTGCGGCGATCGCAAGCGCAAGACCCTGCCAAGAGGCGTATTAGCAGGACACGAAAGCTTCCTGCATAGGACCTGCACGATCAGGCCGCGATGAAGCATAGATTGGAACACGTCTTGCAGCCAAGCCCGCGCTGCAAGTCTTGGTGGTCGAGTGGAAACAGGCTAAAACAGTCGCTGCGAGATGTCAGGTAGGCGACGCGACGCGCAAAGCCGCCGGGGGATGTTCGCCCCACGTTGGCCGCTTAGAACATGAATCGACATATCGAAACTCACCGGAGCATTGGCATGGACGACACAGATATGGTTTAGGTGCCCGGAGAGATTCTCGCATCTTTGTTGAGACGCGTACTTCTGTTGATCAATTATGATGAATTATTCAAACACGTCTACGCATATATGGACTGTATGTTGCGAGATACTCAGGTATGCTCGTGGCTCTTTCGGTGTGTCCAAGAAGCTTAGTCACCGTGTCGCAGCTGTGTCGGGAAACCATCGCTTGCACTGTGAAAGATGGTAGACCAAATATAGAATATACATGACGACTACGAGTGGTGAAACTAGACTTCTGCTGTATACTTTCAACGGTGGCGGTATCTTTACGCGTTACCACGCGAGGGTTATCGATAAGCCAAGCGGGCCGAGGCGAGGGCAGCGCAATGACGCCAGTCATTCACCGAAGCTTCGAGTCGCGAGGCGCATATGTCAGCCATCTCACGCCTCTAAACTACGACGTACCATCATTCATGTGTTCCCACCACAGTCATTACCTTCACCTTTCTGTACCTGACGCAATACAACCATGGACCCGGAAACAGAGCCCGCAGAGCTGAAGTGGTCCGCTCAATACGAACTCGCTCATGCGACGCGAAGCACGCTACCCGGCGACAAACTACTCCTTCCCCCATCAGCGTTAGAGCAGCTCCTTGCCGCAGCACCTGTCGTTCACGTCGACGCGAATCGACCGCACATCACCGCTTTCGATCCTTTCAACCCATACACCTTCAACGCCGAGCGCCACGCACGAGCACAAACGCAGGACCGCTTCCAGCAGCTGCCCCATCCGCTTACATTTCGCTTGGTCAACCCAGATAATGGCAGAGTTGTATACGCGGGGATACGCGAGTTCTCCGCAGAAGAGGGCGAAGTTGTACTGAGCAGTTTTCTGAAAGAGGCATTGGGAATCAAGGAACAATCTGCGGAGCCTTCTAGGAATGCCAGCCCAAATGGTCAGGATGAAGATGACGTGGCTATGTCGAATGGAGCAATTCCCCTCGGAACAGAAGGCGCTGCGTCTACGAAGATCACAGTACATGCTAAGCAATTACCCAAGGGCACTTTCGTAAAGCTACGGCCTCTCGAAGCTGGTTATGACCCGGAGGATTGGAAGTCGCTACTGGAGGAACATCTACGGTCCAATTTTACAACCTTGACGAACGGAGAGGTCCTGGCTATAAATGGTGGTCGAGGAGTTGATGGCAAGCGCGAGGAGTTTCGCTTCCTTGTAGACGGCTTCAAGCCCGAAGGAGATGGCATTTGCGTAGTAGATACGGATCTGGAGGTGGATATCGAAGCGTTGAATGAAGAGCAGGCACGCGAGACGATGAAGAGGATAGCTGCCAAGATGCACCGCGCGCCTGGAACATCACAAGGCAGTTCCACCGGCGGCGCAGTCGACATATTCAACGCGCAACCTGGACAAGTGCTTGACGGCGAGTACGTCGACTACGAATTGACATCCTGGGACAGATCTCAGGGGCTGGAAATCCTTCTAGACGAAGTAGAAGACGGGGATGAGATCGACCTGTATGTCAGTCCGTACTCTTCACGACAAAGAGTTCGCCCACGAGAAGAGGAGCATGTTTTTGCGAATATAAGAAGTCAATATCCGAAACGCATACGACTTCAGCCTACAAACATCGAGCTTGACGATGCGGAAGCTGTATGGATCTCAGTTCATGCATACCCATCTGAGTCACCCTCAAGCACGCCCAAACCCTTCCGTCTGAAGGTGTCGATTTTCGACCCCAAGACAGAAGGGATGGATGGGCTGGACGAGGCCCTTGAGAATGCCAAAGCGGTGGGACCGGACGAAGTGATCTGCAAAAACTGCCAACAAGTAGTTCCTAAAGGCTCACTATTCTTGCACGAGAACTTCTGTCTAAGAAACAACATCCTTTGCCCCCAAGGCTGTGGTCAAGTCTTCCAGAAGCGCTCGCCGGCTTTCCAGAACCATTGGCATTGTCCACACGATACTTTCAGCGGAAACACCACATTGAGCCACCAGAAGCACGACGCTCTCTACCACACACCCCAGATGTGCTCCACATGCGACATGGAATTCCCGTCAATGCCCATGCTCTCCCATCACAAAACGACCGTATGTCCCGGCAAGCTAATCCTCTGCCGCTTCTGCCACCTCCAAGTCCCGCAAGAAGGCGACCCCAACGACCAATCCCCCGAACTCCTCCTTTCAGGTCTCACACCCCACGAACTAGCAGACGGCGGCCGAACAACCGAATGCCACCTCTGCAACAAAATCGTCCGCTTCCGCGACATGGACACGCACCTCCGGCATCACGATCTCGAGCGCCTATCCCGCCCCCCACCCCGCTTATGCCGCAACGTAAACTGCGGTCGCACCCAAGACGGCGCAAACAAAGCCGGTGACACCCGAGCCGGGACGCGCAAAGGTCAAGGCCCCGGTAACGAAATCGGGCTCTGCAGCGTCTGTTTCGGGCCTCTCTACGTCTCGCTCCACGACCCAGAAGGCAAAGCACTGCGTCGCCGTATCGAGCGTCGTTACCTCTCCCAGCTACTCACCGGCTGCGGGAAAGCGTGGTGCAAGAACGAGTACTGCCGCACTGGTCGGAAAAATCTAGGCCAGGAAGATAAATCCGTTCCGACTAAAGATGCTATTCCGCTTGTTAAGCCTTTCCTGCAGGGAATGGATGGGAGGGGGTATGAGACCCCGTTGCACTTTTGCGTGGATGAGCGGACGCAGAAGTGCAGGACGTTGGCTGAGATGGTGGCTGCTGAGAAGGGGATTGAGGGGAAGGGTGGTTATGGGTTGGAGTGGTGTGTTGCTGCTATGGAGGCTGAAGGTGGGGATTTGGATAAGGCGAGGAGTTGGCTTAAGGGGTGGGCGCCGCAGAGGACGGAGGCTGGAGTGTGAGATGGGAGGGTTTGGAGTGTTTTGATGAGGTGTTTGTAGATGGGCGTATAGAAGTATGATGGATGGTGGTTGGAGTGTATAGACTAGATTAGAGAGATACCCAGTAACGATGTCAACGAACTTGCATCTTGCATAGGCCTAGAGCACGGCAAGGCAGATGCGTGCACTGCATCCGATACTAGGCATATACAACCATGCTATGCCCCCATCTCATCTCCCGTCTCTACAAGCCAAACCCTACAATTTACTCTTCCCCCCCTTATCCCGTCCCTCCCTCTCCGTCTGCCTCCCCATATCCTTAGTATCACTCGTCTCCGCCTTTAAACTCGCCGGATCACCAAGTTGCGTCTTGTTCACCTTGTTTCCATCGTCGTTCGCAAGCGTCCCTCGTACTTTCTTGCTGTGCGGCAGATCCTCCTTTCCTTCCTCTTTCTTGCTACCTGCACTCCCGCCGTTGCCAATGGCCTTCTTGTCGGCGCCGCCGGCTGATGTGCCGGATTTGACGTAGGGGGCTGAGGGTGTGGGTGCGCCGATGGAGGAGGTTTCTGAGGATGGCGGGGATGAGGAGGTGGAGGTGGAGGTGGAGGAGGAGGAAGAGGAGGGAGCGTCGTTTGAAGGGAAAGTCTTGCTATCGTCGTTTTCAGGCTTCAGACTAACGTGGTCGCCGAGACGGGGAGTGGGTTTATCGGAGTTCATGGCTTCTTTGGTATTTGGGTTGGATAGTGTGCCGCGGACGGAGGAGGAGTGGGATGTGTCGACCATTGTTGCTGACCAGGGTAGTTTTTTGTTGTCCAGGATGTATGATGTATGGTATGAAATCACGATGATGTTTGGCCGCGGAGAATGAAATCTGGGGGAAAAGGGCTGGTTATGACAGCTAGATCTTACCTGTACCTCGGCAGCTACGCAGCTACATCATTGAGATATAGTGCGTGCTTTGGTGGTGGGAATGCTTGATGGAGTGTCTAGCGCGTGGGCATGACGTCTTGCATTGTGAGGCGCGTTGTCACATGAAGATCTTCGTGATGCTTTTGCGCGTTTTGGATTCTTTCATATTATCGTTCGATTTGAAGTCTTTTTGGGACCCATTGATCGCAGACCTTGGAGTTGAGTTTTTGAAGTGTTGACGACTGTTATGGTCATGAACGAATGAGGTTGTGCTGATGGCTTACAGAGCGGAGGAGCTCCAAGCTCCCCACAACCCGTCCTGCCGTTACACCTCGGCATCTTTGCTACCCCAGAGTCTCGCGAGCTCCGCAGTTATGTCCTCAATGAACGCGAAGGCAGCACACGAAATTCGCACTGCAAACACTATCAATGCACCATCATGGACGCGAAATATTCCCACCTGTTGTCTGTTCCCTGGGCCGCTGCCTTGATTAACGACCCCAACTGGACGCCGATGGAGACCAGCTCGCGTTCAGTAAAGCCATCAGGAGAAGACTCCTTCTTCGCAGGAACGCTTGGCACTGATCGCACAATAACAACGCTTCTTACGTTTCGTCCGAAGAATGAGGAAGCAGGCGACATCGCATACGGAGAGATTAAAACCATTGTTGAGCTAGGCGATGGGCTACAAGGCTACCCACGGATCGCACACGGCGGCTTCCAGGCAACGTTGCTTGACGAGATGTCCGGCGTCTTGATCGGGACGGTCATGGAGAAAAAGGCGCAAAGGGCAAGTAAGGACGGTCGCCGCGCGCCTGTCGCAAGCTACGTTACTGCCTGTTCGTCCATACCATGCACCGACACCAAATCACCAGCTGAGCACAAGCAGATCTGAACACTACCTATAAGAAGCCGGCACCAACCCTGCAGACGCTTCTCTGCACAGCCAAGATCGAACGAATAGAAGACGGCGGTCGCAAACTATACGCTCGCGCGACTCTCGAAGACGGCAACGGTACGATATACACCATCGCCGACGGCATGTTCGTCAGACTTTCGACCAAGCTATGATGCCTCCAGACGATCATGCGCTCTGCACGGGAATAGGCAGTGACCCCACAGTACTACTATATGTCACGGAATATGCTAGAGGCACCCGTCGAAATGTCTGGGCATTCGGATACCAAACTCGATAGTACATGGGCCACCACAGCGCGTACTACGCTTGTACATGAATACAATATCTCATCTGCAAAGTCGCACCGCTCGCGTGGCCATCTGTCATATTCGCTGCTTGTCGGGAGTTTGGTTGCACGGAATCGCGCAACACGACTGCCGCGACCCTGCGCAAGGTCTGAGAGACGGCGAGCTGTCGCGCACCTCAACGCGCATCTCAACCCCTTTTGCAATACTGAATGCTGGTACACTACGATTCCAGCCTACGACTTTCAAGGTTTCGTTCAAGATACCGTGTTAGGCAGGCGTGTAAAGAATCGCTTGAGCTATTCACCTGCTCCACCACGAATGGACTGTCCGACTTTGACCGAAGTTACAAGCGTACATTCGCTTGACCTCCTGTATTGCACATTCTATTACTTTTTCATCGACTTGATGCTCAGATTTTGCCATGTGCGAAGCTACTGGGTCGGCGCCTGCTCTTAGTGGCAGATAGCCCGAAAGTGTGAGTCGAGTCTAGCCACATGACTGGTCATAGCCAGATTCTTTTAATCTATCTACCCTGACCCACATGATCTACCCTGTGCATGACCGTCGCCTAGGCCCGGCTCCTGTGCATCTGGGGTATTCGACGAGGCGCTTGCGATGTTGCAATCTCAAAGTATACACCTAGGAAATTGTCTCCAAACATGGCGTTCGGCCGACCTCTAACCAGCAACAGCTCCACGATGCCCAGACCTAGGCATGCCCGAGTCTGCAAACGACACTACACTCCGTGGCCAACGTTCACGCGCCTGACTTCGCCGCCGTCATTTGCGATCTTTGACTGGCGCCGTTTCAAAACAAGTCTGTTCCAATCAGGCAGGTCAAAAAGAAAGGTGTCGGGCTTGCCTTCACGTTGCTTGTCTCGCGGAAGCCTCACAAGACTCTCTGCATTCACCGCATCACAACTATGGGTGTGAAGTGAGTGCTCTGACGTCTAAGAGACTAACACATGAGCACGCGCGCTTGAGGCTTATGCTGCAGGGCAAGATCATAGGGCAGACTCATGCAGTGCGACGCATGGCATTTCTACCTAAGACTACCCCACATTTAGGCTTCGTGGCGAACTACTGTTGACGGCGCAAATCTGGGGTCATGAATCTTAAGATTCATGACCGCGGAGCCAATTGCCGGCTTCAACGCTCTGGTCTTGGCACTAGTGTCCGTCACATGCTTCCAAGGTTTGGTCGGTGTTTGCACAGTCACTGGACAGCGCTTGACGGAAATAATATGCGTAGGGCCGTCCCGGTGACCAACGCTGCATCGAGGTTAGTTGCATATCCCCTGAGTCTTCTCACAACTTCTGCTTGTAGCTCACCCACAGCATGTGTTGGGCAGCACGTTGGATCAACATCGTCATCCTCTATTCATGTTTAGATAGCCACTGCAGCTTCTAGATATAGAGTAGATCACACTGCTCACGAGAATAGAATGAGTCTTATTCGACTTACCAAACAACACAAAACACCCCTCGGAGATGTGGCTTGAAAAGGAAGGGCGCGTACCTACACCCTCCCTTTCCCCAGACTATGTTACTCAAGCTAAGACATCTCGAAGCCGGGACCGAAGTAAGCTATGTAACCCTTCAAACGGCAACGGGGGTAGCCGCCTAGTGAGTTAGTCTTCGACAAGGCCTTATGACCTCCTAAGTGGTAGACGGTGAGTATCTCATCACCGGATGTTGCTAGCTAGCCAGTCGGCACGCTTCATGGGGAGCAGATCTCCAAATGATCGCGTGGGTGTATGGTTCTTTCTCCTATCACGCACTGCCACGACGTGTAGCAGTGAACAAACGGGGAGATTAAATAGGCATCATGGTCTCCCTCTGAGACTTCTTCTCGCTACTACAGTCTACACTCCTTTGTACTCCTCCTCTTTGTGTTCTCACTGAACATACCATTATCTATTGGCATATACTCACGGCTATGCATTTGTCCTTCTTGCTCACCTGCCTCAGTGCAGTCGGCATTCAGGGTGCTGCTATCGGTAAGCAATGACTTTTTTCCCTGAATAGTTGCGTTACTGATACACCACAGCACGCTTCCCCAGACAGATAGTAGTGAATGATACCGAGCCTACCTCCAACATCAGCAGCATCCAGGGAGTTGCTGCTATCACGGATGGCTACTGGCTGAACGACCTCTCCGGCAACGGAAGAGCTGCCTTCAACGCCAACGGTGCTTACAAGGTCTTCCGTAACGTCAAGGAGTACGGAGCAAAGGGTAAGCTACTTTGCTTTTTGTGTTCCAGTACAAATCTAACACTCCCATAGGCGACGGTGTCACCGACGATTCTGATGCAATCAACCGTGCCATTGCCGACGGCAACCGTTGCGGTCCCGGCGTGTGCGACTCGGCTACGGATTCCCCGGCCGTCGTTTATATTCCTTCTGGAACGTACCTCATTGGCAAGCCTATCATCTTCTACTACATGACTCAGCTTATCGGCAACCCCCGAGGTCTTCCTGTCTTGAAAGCTGCTCCTACCCTTCAGGCTATTGCTCTCATTGATGCTAGTCCTTACCAGAACAACGGTGCACCCGGCTGGACATCAACGAACATCTTTCTGAGGCAGATCCGCAACTTGATCATCGATGGCACAGCTGTTGCACCAACCAGCGGCTTCCAGGGTATCCACTGGCCCGCTTCGCAAGCCACGACCATCCAGAATGTCAAGATCCGCATGACACAGGCATCGAACTCAGTCCACGCCGGTATCTTCGTCGAGAACGGATCTGGTGGCCACATGGCTGACCTCGACATCGAGGGTGGCTTGTACGGCATGAACATTGGAAACCAGCAGTTCACCATGCGCAACGTCAAGATCTCCAAGGCCGTCACTGGTATCTCGCAGATCTGGGACTGGGGCTGGTTGTACGCTGGTCTTACTATTAGTGACTGCGGCACTGCTTTCTCTATGAGCAACGGTGGCTCGGCTAATAAGCTTGAGGTCGGCTCGGTTGTTATCATCGACTCTGAGATCACCAACTGCCAGAAGTTTGTTGATATGGCATGGACTCGTAACAGCGTTCCTACTGGTGCCGGACAGCTTATGCTCGAGAACATCAAGCTCAACAATGTACCCAATGCCGTCGTAGGAAACGGCGCTACTGTTCTTCAGGGTGGCACATTCACTATCCAGGCTTGGGGTCAGGGTAACAAGTACGCACCCAATGCCAACGGTCCGGAGAAGTTCCAGGGAACCTTCACTCCTGTTGCTCGTCCAGGAGGCCTTTTGGACGGCAACAAGTACTACGCCAAGTCGAAGCCACAATACGAGAACCTCAACTCTGGCGACTTCATCAGTGCTCGCGGCAGTGGAGCCACAGGTGACGGTCGCACCGACGATACCCAGGCTGTTCAGAATGCCATCAACAGGGCAGTTTCTTCAAACAAGGTACGTTCCCTTAATCTTGTCACCTCCTATCGCCAGACTAATCACATCCCAACAGGTCCTCTTCTTCGAGCACGGTGTCTACAGAGTAACCAACACAATCTACGTCCCCCCCGGCTCCCGCATGGTCGGCGAAACCTTCCCCTCAGTCATGGGCTCCGGCTCCGTCTTCTCCAACAAAGACTCCCCCGTCCCCATCATGCAGATCGGCAAGCCCGGCGAAAGCGGCCGCATCGAATGGTCCGACATGATCGTTCAAACCCAAGGCGCCACCCCCGGCGCCATCGTAATCCAATACAACCTCAACACCGAGCGCGGCTCCGGCCTCTGGGACGTGCACACCCGCATCGGCGGCGCAAAAGGCACAAACCTGCAAGTCGCGCAGTGCCCGTCCACCGTCGGCAGCGTAAAACCCGAATGCATGGCCGCCCACACAAACGTGCACGTAACCAAAGGCGCCAACGGCGCGTACTTCGAGAATAACTGGTTCTGGACAGCCGACCACGACATGGACGACGCGCGCAGCACGCAAATCACCATTCTAACGGGTCGCGGCCTGCACGTCGAAGCCTCAAACGTGTGGCTCTGGGCCAACGGCGTCGAACACCACGCAAACTACCAGTACCAATTCAACGGCGCATCCAACATCTTCGCCGGCTTCATCCAAACAGAAACACCATACTACATGCCCACGCCCGACGCCTCCAACCAACCCTACGGCACATCCGCTGCCTACTCCGATCCCGTATACCCATCCGGCGCCTCCGCCTACGGCCTGCGGGTGCTGAACTCAAAGAACGTGCTTGTGTACGGTGGGGGTTTGTATTCTTTCTTCCGCAATTACAGCACTAGTTGTTCGAGCGCGGATGCGAGTGGTGGGGCGCGGATATGCCAGAATAGGATTTTTAGTATTGAGGGGGATAGCAGTGTGCAGGCTTTTGCGCTTAGTGAGGTGGGCAGTGAGTGGATGGTTACAGTGGATGGGGTGGATAAGGCGAGTTGGAGGGATAATTTGAGTGTTTATTCGAATACTATTGGGTGGCTTGGGTATAGGGTTTAGGGTTGATAAAAGAGACTGGTAGGGGAGTTTAGGAGATAGGCGGAAGAGGAGAGGGTGGACTGGGTTGGGTTGGACTGTATATATGGGATGGGGGCGGTGTCTGGTGTTCTTGGGGGTGTTGTTTGGATGGCTGGTTGACCACGGTCGCTATCTTCCTGTCCTGATGGACGGGATGGAGTCTTGGGATTGATACTGCTGTTTTAGTATATTCTTTTTTACTGAATGCAAAGGATCAAAATGTACCTGCTCTTCCTATCGCTTTGCCGCTAACTATGAGTATTGCTTTCTATACCGAACGGTCTTCATTTTGCGAATGACAATGTTACCTCGAACTAGACATCCATAGTAACACCGTCTGTTCATGTCCCTCCCACACTCTTCAATGATCGAGCCATACACC